GTTTAATTGCATTTGAATGACTTCTGACCAATCCTATTTTAATACAAAGATGCAATGTAGACTTTGAAATACCTAAGGCAGCAGCCATGGCCCTAATGCTTGTTCTTTTGGCTAGAGGAATGTTCGGGATGGACTCTATGTCTATCACCTTCCTTTTCCTTCCACACTTCAATCGAACCTGACTATTCACATCAATGGCAACACCCCCCTGCATTTGTTTTCTAGCTCTACTCCATATCTCCCCTACAGATCTTCTTGAAACATTAAATTGAGCAGCAACCTTACTGATAGCTCCTTTCTGAGCTGTGTACTGACCTGATTTTGTTTTTGTGTACGGTAAGATTGCTTCTACAATTCTTTGTCTTTCTGAATTTGTGAGCCTTTTGCTCCTTATTTCATTTTCCATTTGCAGGTTCTTATCTCTGCTTGGGAGAAGAGGAACAGCACTGTGAGGAGGAGCAGCGGTGTGAGGCGGAGCAGCGGTGTGAGGCAGAGCATCGGTGTGAGGCAGAGCATCGGTGTGAGGCGGAGCATCGGTGTGAGGCGGAGCAGCGGTGTGAGGCGGAGCAGCGGTGTGAGTATCATGCATGTGAGATGAATAGTGGGCATGAGCTGCAGTTTTTTTTGGGGGTGGAGTTTCTAGTTTTAGAAGGGTTGGATATTTATAGGATATGGCCTTGGTGGACTTTATGTTTGTATTTGGAGGGAAATTTTTAGAAATTTCCCCCTATTTGTAAAATGTTTTCATTTTTGATTTTGAGACTAGTGCCAAAAGTTTGCCGTAGTTGTAATAGATCTGACAATGAATAATTCGAACAAATCAATGTGTGGCTGTGACCTTTTCTTTTACAAATGCTCCAATGGTTTTTTTAAGGGGAGGGTATAATTGGAAGTCAAGGTGTAAAAGTTCCCTCCCTTAAAAATGAAGAAAAGTCAATGTGGGAACCTCATTATAGGACGGAGGGAGTAATTCATTGATTCCATATTTATTAAAAATTTACGCTCTGCAATTTTATAACTTACCTTTTTTTAATTATTTCCAATTTTAAATAAGTTAATTATTATATATATAATAATTATATTAACATCACGCTTACCATTTTATATTACTCACGTTAATTATTATAAAAATAATAGCTATTATTATATTTATAACTTTTTAAATAATTATAAATC